GGTTACTTAGTTAGTACTGCATTTCCAGAATATTTTAATTAACATTTTTTAAAAAAAAAAGTTAAGGTCTTTTTTAGAACAAAAATTTCAGTTTCAAATAAACATGCATCTTAAAAAGTCACAAAACAATAGTAGTTCAAAATGTACACGTGTCGGCGGTGGTATTTGAAATTGGCAGAGAGTACGTTTCAAATTCAAGTGTTAATGCCCAATGTATTTTATTCATTTATTATTCAAATGTTGGAATCAAATCTAGAAATGATAAAAATAAATGTTATAACTTGTTGGAAATACTCGCACTTCATCTTCGATGTGACGAAACTTTCACACCTGCCCAGTGTCGAATGATTTTGATTGACAGGTCAAGCACGTGGACTTCGTGTGAACTTGAAGCAGGAACATAAAAACGAGTATGATTGTCAAACAAATGGATATGATTTGTTGATAAAAAAAAAAAGTTACTTTCACTGTCTGATATATTTAGAAAAAAAAAATTCAGAGGTTTTCTTTGATATAGGTACAAACATTTAGTGAAGCCTGAAAGGAAAGGGGGGAGGCTAAAACGGAATCTCTCTCTCTCTCTCTCTCTCTCTCTCTCTCATTTGTCTGTTTAATAAAAACTTTAACAGCATATTACTTAAATATCAAGTTCTGAAAATTGAATTTATAACAAATAATATGAATATGTATCTTTGTATTATCTTGTCCGAGTATAACCACGGCCATCAACATATACATGTAGAAGTCTGCTCAATAAATCATCATGAAAAAAAGAAATAACACATAATATATTATCGTATTAAAAATTTAAAATACGAGCGTATAAATGCAAAACGTCCACTGACCTTTGTAATTTTTTTTTCATTACTTTACACGAAATCGCCTTGACACGGAGATATATGAATGGATGTTACAACCGCTTTAATTCATTCTATAAGTCATAAGTTTTCTCTGATTTGTTATCAAATAAGAATAAACATTTTTATTTTCCAACTAAAAAAAATATCTTTTATACTTCAGCGTTCGGCAACAATTGCAATGTTTTAATGCGATAAAAATCGTGTGATTAAAAACTTAATGTGCATGCATTGTCTTTCTTAGGACAATTTTGGAGAATTTATTTTATTGACTTATTTATTCATTCATTTATTGGTTTACTCATTTATTATTTATTTATTTGGGACCTGACATTATAATACAATAAAATAGTTTCAATGCGAGGAAAAGATCAGAGGCATTCCGAATATATCGTTCATCTTGCATTCACCGTTCGTTCACCGTTCACTTTGCGTTCGCGTTTGCGCTCCGTTCGCGTTCAGCGTTCACTCACCGTTCACCGTTCACACATCGTTCACCAAGTTGCGTTCAGCGTTCACACATCGTTCACTCACCGTTCGCTCTGCGTTCGTTCAGCGTTCGTTCACCGTTCGTTCAGCGTTCGCTCACCGTTCAAGTGGGAAGTAGAACGTTTCAGGGACTGTAAATCATAGCATAATGTTCTTTTCTTTGTGATTAAAAGAGAGTTAAGGTAATGAATACTGTATTCTGAAACAGTTTTTATACCTAACCATAAATTATATTACACATGTATGACAGCAAAAGAACTAAAAAGAAAATCAAATTTAATAATTGCATTAATTTTTCATTTTAATACCCATTTTGTGTCACCGTGAAGTTTTTCAAGTTAATACCGCCAAAGGGACACAATACCATATCACAGCTGTAGGAGTAAGCGAAAGCAGCAATTTCAACTGGAGAGGGGGACACAAAAATGTATCTTTCAATTAGTTCATTAAAATAAATGATTGAAAGAAAATCTACAGAGTTTGTTTGTAGTTTGTATGTGTGCCGGTGGGGGTGGGGGGTTAAACTGACATTTTTAAGCATATACTGGTAAGGGTCTGGAAGCGAATAGTGTAATCAACTTGAAAGGTCTCTCTTGAAAAACTGCTACACGGTTTTATTGATCTTGTTGATATTATTGTCTTTTGTATTTTAGAGTGGAAGTGGGGGGTGGGGGTAACTGTTATGCCATAAAATGTCCTGATGTTAAGAAATATAGAGGAGGAATCCCAATTAATGTTTTGAAACAAAATTGCAATTGAATTTTTAAACAAATACAAATTAACTTAATTTCATTTTCTTTTTTAAAAAAAATCCAAAGATATGATAGGGGTTTACAGGAGCTTAACACATTTTTTATTAGAAATATTACCATATGCTATTTCCCAATGAATGGGGCTGCTTGAAAACCAAACAAATAACGATGGAAATTTCATTAAATGTTAAGTCATCGGGATTGAGATGCCTCTCATACCACAATACATATACAGATATGGATACTTATATGGATACAATACTGTAGGGAGAAAAGGTTTTGGTCAGAAAAATTGTGTCTGGAATTGGTGTACATCACTATGATATGTCAAGATCCTGTAATTCTTAAGATATATTTGATAAATCAGTCAATTTTTTTTCTTGTTATATATACTTGATGATTGAATATTATATTTTTTGGTTCGATAGTATTGATTATCTGGAAATTATTTTTTGCATTATTCTTATACATGTGCCAATATAATTGGTGTTGACATTCTTAGCTCACCTGAGCTAAAACCTCAATTTAAGTGATAACATTGTGTCTGTCAAGTGTTCTGTCTGTCTGTCTGTCTGTAAACTTTTCACATTTTCAGTGTCTTCTCAAGAACTACTGGGCCAGTTTCAACCAAACTTAATTGACACAAAACATCCGTGGATAAAGGGGATTCAAGTTTTTCAAATTAAGGGTCATGCACTCTTGCAAGGGAAGTAGTTAAGAATTAGTGAAAGTTTATGGACATTTTTTTAAAAATTCTCTCAAGAACCATTGTGTCAGAAATGTTGAAACTTATGTGAAAGCTTCATTATAAAGTGTAAATTCAGTTTTATTCGATCAGATCATGTCCCTAGAGGGAAGTTTGAGGCTACGGTTATCAAAGTTTTTCATAGAGTTTATAGGAAAAATTCTTTCAAAATCTTCTTCTCAAGAAATACTGGGTCAGAAGAGATGACACTTATGTGAAAGCTCCATTACATAGTGGAAGTTTAATTTTGTAGGTGCTGGCATGAAAAAGATCCCTAACTGCTCAATGGCCCTGAGTGCCAAGTATAGGTCTAAATTAGTAGCCCTCCACCGGCAAGTGGTGGTGTCTTCCTATGAGTAAAAAAATTCTTAAAAGGGATGTTAAAATAACAAACAAATACAAAATCAACAAGAAGTCTGTGAGCCAATGCTCACTTATAATACCCTCGCTCTGATGTGAATACACATGTTCATTTATGGACAGACAAAGGGATAAACAAGAATTTGACATAACATTCGCACAAAAATGCATAAGACATGCCTAAACAAAGAGGGTGCTAAACTTTCAAGCATCTGCGATAAGTAGTTGCTGAGAAATTTACAACAAAAAATGTTATATATGGTACAGATGGATGCATTGATAAACAGTAAGTTGACATCAGATTCGTACAAAAATGAATCCCACCATATGGCATGCCTAAACAAAGAGTGTTTTTAACCTTTTAAGTACATTAACCAGAAGTTTTTGATGACACTGCAGCTGTACTGTGTGTACTTGGTTTGTCTTCATATACCCTAACTGTGTACCAAGTCTTATTGAAATTCAACCAAAACTGTAGGAATAGCATTTTGAAAGAATTTAACAGAAATTACTTTTTTAGTAACCATGACAACACCATGACAACACCACTTGTCAAAAATTAAAAATTAATAGAATTATGTATTTTAGAACAGTGTACTTGAGTACCAAGTCTTACTGAAATTGGAACGAAACTGTAGGAAGAGTAGTGTTTTTAAAGATTTTCACAGCAATATCTATTTTTGTTCACCAAGACATCATTTCTCCTGATAAATTGTTCAACCATATTTCTTTTCTAAGCCTCTATGCACAAATGGCAATAGCATTAGCTCTTTGAGCCTTTGGCTCAATTATGTATTTATCATGGCAACACCATTTTAGTGTACTTTTATATATCAAGTCTTGTTGAAATTGAACCAAAACATCAAGAGTAGCATTTTGTAAGAATTTTACAGAAATTTCTATTTTTAGTAACCATGCCATGATGGTAACACTGTTTTTAAAAAAAAAACAATATAAAGAATTATGTATCAGCATATATTACTTAGAACAGTAATATTGACATTGGAACAAAACTAGAAGGAGCAGTGTTTGGAAAAATTGTCTCTGGACAGCAAACAGATGACTTGCACCTTACTACTGGTCTCTGACCAGCAGAGATGAAAATTTTTATTTTTTTTTAATTCGACTTACCTATCAATTACATTATTAACAGTGATAAATAATGAAGGGGAATAACTTTTCTTGAAGCAGAGTAAAATTTTGATACATAATTTTAATACATCCACACCAAATCTTATCTGCCCTAACAACAGAATCCCTGACCCAGGGGACATGAATTTCACAATTTTGGAAGAGGCACCCTTGTTTATCATATTCATTCACTTAATTTGTCTGCTAAATAACCAGGAGCAAAAGAGAAGATTTTCAAAGAATAAATGACTTTTCACTAAATGATCAACAGAGCACCAAGTTAATTCCAGAATCTTGATCAAGGGTCCATGAATTTCACAAATTTTGGAAAAGCACTCTTGGATTTTTATTTAATATTTATTTATTCATTTTCTTGGATATTGACATTCCATGGCAACATGAACTGCTTGAATTGTTTAAAGGTAAATAAAGTAACAGGATTAGGAGTAAAATATATGGTTATGTATTGGTTACCATGCTTTTTTTTTGGGGGGGGGGGGACACATATAATACAATAATAGAATAAGCATGTGACAAAAAACCCCAGCATGGTAAAGTTTTTACAATGCCTCAATTTGTAGCTCGTCCAAATTTTTTTCAACCAGAGGGTACAGTTCTACAGCTAAGTTATTACATGTACAAAAAACAAAAGTTATACACACTTACCTGTAATTTCACACAGAGTCCATTTAGTTCCATACAAAACTGTCTAAAAAAGTAAAAAAAAAAAAAATATCTCTAGATAAATTTTACACTCTGCTACTGGCTCAAAAAAAAGAGGCCAATGGGACACAATGCTCACCTGAATAACCTTCATTATTTCCTACCTAGCTTGTAACATAAGATTTGATTGGTTTGTAAGCCAGGTGTAAATTTCTGTACACCCGGCTTGAGCCGTGGGTAAAAAAATGTCACAATGCATAGTTTTCTATCACAAAAAGCAAATAACATGATTTCACGATGCATCCTAGTCACCTGTGTGACACAGTAGTAGAGCGTCTGTTCTAAAGTCGTGGAGTAAGGAGTTAATCCTTATGTCGCGGGTTCGAATCCCACTGTGGGACATAGAGACCGGTCCTTCAGATGAGATTGTATAAACCGAGGTCCCGTGTCGCAGTAGATGCTGGCATGAAAAAGATCCCTCACTGCTCAATGGCCCTGAGTGCCGAGTAAAGGTCAAAATTTGCATCTCTCCACTGGCAAGTGGTGGCCTCTCCATATGAGTGAAAAATTCTTGAGAGGGATGTCAAACAACAAACAACGCTATGCATCGTAGCATGTAGTAAATCCTATCGATAGTTTGAAACACCATTGGTTGGACGTGGGTCTGCAAAGAATTGATTTGGTTTCATAGGGCCTAAAGAAAAAATTGTGTGTTTCGGGTAACCCGACCTAACCTATCAAAAAGAGCCGATCCAAAAATTTTTTTCGATGTCCGTATTTATCAGATTAAAATTCCTATTATTTCTATGTAAAATCCGTTTTTATCAGAATATTTTTTTCTCATTCCTAAGAAATGTCTTTAAAAGGCTCAGACTTACAGTGAACATTTAACGATATTTAAATCAACATGCAAGCGTTATTATGACATGTTCGGCAGCATGGAATGGGAAATCTTTTGGATAATACAATTTTCACACTGATATTTCTGTAATTCAAAACTTTTGTGACATAGCTGAAATGGTATTGGGTGGTTACGTCCCGATTACGTGTTCGTCCCGCGTGGTTTCATACTACGTATGTATAAGCTATACAAGCACACATGTGAATATGAACCAACATGTTTACAAACACACAGGTGTGTCGGTGTACGGCAGCTGTCAATAGAGAGCAAAAGGCTTTATAGATATTTGTGTCAATTAGATCGTTTCTGTCATATAAATAGCACAAATAATGAATAAGTACATATAATAAAAATTATTTTCTATCTTTCTTTTCTTAAAATCATAGATTTTGATAAATGTGTATTAGAATATTTTAGATCACTTTTTTCATAAAAGAAAGCCTGTTTGAATGTTTTGTAAAGAACCCACAAACGCAGGGACAAGCTGCAGTGTAAACAATAACTAGATAATTAACATTCACACAATTACAGCCTTCGAATTCTTTGAAGATCAAAAACTTTCTTCACTGGTATAAATATAATTGCTTCAAAATTACAATAATGAATTGTATAAATAAAGATGATATTAATCTGAATTCAAACTGCATCTGAAATGTAAATATATATTAAAACTATCTTAATCAGTTATTGATTAAGGATATGTGATTTGTGTAAAAATGAAAGTTTTCTCTTGCAGAAGACATACTTAATAAAAGAATTTTAAATTATCCATTATTAAACTGTTATCTTTTTGATTCAGAACGAAACCACTGAGGTCATAACCACAAGGGTCAAACACATTTTTGAAACTTAACCACTCGTACTTGCTGAAGTGAAGAGAAAATGAAAAATTAAAATGATATGATACTGTAAAATTTAGTTGTCTGATGTTTTTCAAACATTTTGGTGTTATATGAAATACAGAGTAATATTCTCATCATTTTCTATCTATATTTCAGTGGTCATACATAAAAAAAAAAATCCAAAAAAAAAAAAGATTTCCCTACCTACCTACCCTAGTTTTTTCATCAGTGTTACCCGAAACACACAATTTTCTTTTTTTTTTTAGGCCTAGGAAATAAATTTTTTATCCAGGTCCAATCAAAGGTGTACAGGGATTTACCCTGGGTTTTATTCCAAAGGCAGAAGGGTTTATGGAATACAACCCGGGGTAAATCCAAGTACACCCTTGACTGAACCTGGATAACTAATATCCTCCTGTTCTTCAAAAGACTTTTTAAAAGATTTTTTCCAATATATTCCAGTGTAAAACTTTGATCACCTATTGTGGTCTCACCATACCTCATGCAGTCATGATTTGAAGACATTTTAATCATCTACACTATCTGAAGATGCTTCTATAATAATATGTATAATCATGGGTAAGCTGTTTTTGAGAAGAAGATATTTAATCCTTTTTCCTATATACTGTACGTGTACATAATTGTATTTATGTGCAACATAAAGTAAATTATACCATCTCTGTTATTCTACTGTTATTAGAGAATTTTTCTGGAATTTTCAGTGCCGCAATTAATTCTTGCTTCTATAGATTTGTAACTTGATCTTGTTCATCTCCAGACCATGCATTCTGATGGAAACAAATTTTTGATTTGGATTTGTTTATGTATCTGAATTGATTTACATCCTCCCACCGTTTCTTGGACTTGTAATGTTGTCCACTGTTCAATATTTTTTGGAAATTGTTTACAAACATTGTGTAAGTATGGTTAATTTGTTTGGCATTCTAATAAAGGCCCATTTATGACAAATAATTTGTTGTTATATTTGCTAAAAACAGACCAGAGTAGACTCATAGAGAAAATAAATTATATTGAGGGAAGTTGAAGACGATGGTATAAATATAAAATAAATATATAAAGCCTGCTCTTTTTAAGTACACATACAGTAATTCCATGTACTAAACCTTTGATTGCCTATTGTGGCCCTAGCCTTAGCCAGGGCCAAGTTTTGAACCAACTTGAATCTGCACTATTGAATCTGCAATGCTGACTAATCATGGCTTTGCTGTTCTTGAGAAGATTTCTCATATTTTAATCTTATAAATTCTAAATTATTTATCTCCTATTTTAGCCCAAACCAGAGTCCTTGACTTGAACAAATGTGAATGAACACTACCTTAGGATGCTTCAATATTAATATGACTATCATGGCTTAATGTTCTTGAGAAAACAATACATATATTTAAGATTTTTTATCCATATAATCCCATGTAAAACTTTGATCTTCTATTGTGACCCCATCCAACCCCCGGTGATATAAAATCTATACTCTATGTAATGAAGCTATTAATCATACAAGTTTCATCTTTTCTAGCCCTCTGATTCTTGAGGAGAAGATATTTAAAGGATTCTATTAAATTTTCACTACATAATTCTAAATAATTCTTAATTATCTGCCCTTGTTAGAGGGTGTGCTCCTTCATTTGAATAATCTTGAATCACCTTCACCCAAAGACACCTTGTGGCAAGTGTGGTTGCAATGGGCCATGTGGTTCTTGAGAAGAAGTCAAAAATGTGAAAAGTTTACACACAAATGGATGGTCAGTTCTGGACAGCTAGACAAATAGAAGACACCAGACAAAATGTGATCAGAAAAGCAAGAGCTTTCAGCTTAGTTGAGCTAAAAACATCTAGACACTAAAGAATACTTAGAATATAGAAGTAATGGAGATCAACATTAAATTTCATTCAGGTTCAGTACTCACTCTTCTGAGTATAGTACTGTAAAATCATTTTCATGGGGTCAAATTTTCTTGGTTTAAGGGAAAATTACTGGTTCAAGGGGATTTGATTTCCTGGATAAAGGAGAAACATCATACTGCAATATGGAATTCTAACATTTCGAGTGGAATATGAATTCATGGGTCCTTACATTCCACGAAAACAACGAAAATTATACCCCCATGAAAATTAGCGATTCCACAGTTATTAGGTGTTTATAGCTGGAACATGCAGAATGAAAGATATTAGTCACCTGTCATTCTGTATCTACCATTACATCAACTGGAGAGCACTTATTTCACTGCACTGAAGTGCTTTCTTTCTTAAATCAATTTTGTACACAGGATCATTTGAAAACAACAGTCAGTACTAACCTTAGATGTTCATATTTCCAAACTCCTTCCTCTATTCCCTCTGGAGGGGTCAAGATTTCATCAATGTTTCTAAAATCCTTCCTTATGGCCTGTTGTATAAACTAACAAAAAAATTAAAATATTGTAAGAAAATCCAAGTTTAAAATGAACATTACACTTAGTACCTTGTAATTTTAAATTTGTCGTCACATGTACTTAAAAAAGATATGGTCCATGCAGACTTGTGTATATTTCAACCAAATAAAACTTGGAATACAAGTGTATGTTTCCATTTTAGCCAAAGTTCTGGTGAGACTAACAACTGTAAAATGTAAAATCTCCTACCAAATAGGAAAGAAGAAAATTAAGTCTAACCCCTACAGCTCTAGCTTTAAAAAACAAGAGGCCCATGGGCCACATCGCTCACCTGAGCACACTGGCTAGACTAAGGCACAAATCAGTTCAGTAATGAACAGGGGGGGGGGGGGGGCTTGAATTTTAAACTACCTGATGATGCTTTCATGTCAATATAACAAATAAATTTGTTGTACTTGAGAAGATTTTAAAAGAATTTTCCCATTTATTCCTTTGTAAAAATTTGATCCCCCATTGTAGCTCCTCCCTATCTCAGAGGTCATCATTTGAACAAACTTGAATCTACATTACCCGAGGATGCTTCCATATCAATAAGACTAACATAGCTTTTCTGTTCTTGAGAAGAAATTTTTTTTCTATATGTTTTTCTGTAAAACTTTCGATCCCCCATTGGGCCCCACCCTACCCCTGGGGGTCATCATTTGAACAAAATTGAATCTACACTACCTGAGGATGCTTCCATATAAATTTGACTCATCATGGCTTTGCTGTTCTTGAGAAGAAGATTTTTCCTATATATTTCTATGTAAAAATTGATCCTCTATTGTGGCCCCGCCCTACCCCTGGGAGCCATGATTTGAACAAAATTGAATCTACACTTCCTGAGGATGCTTCCATATAAATATGACTCTTCATGACTTTACTGTTCTTGAAAAGAAGATTTTTAAAGATTTTTCCTATATATTTCTAAGTAAAATTTGGATCCTCCATTGTGGCCCCGCCCTACCCCCGGGAGCCATGATTTGAACAAAATTGAATCTACACTTCCTGAGGATGCTTCCATATAAATATGACTCTTCATGACTTTACTGTTCTTGAAAAGAAGATTTTTAAAGATTTTTCCTATATATTTCTATGTAAAATTTGGATCCTCCATTGTGGCCCCGCCCTACCCCCGGGGGTCATGATTTGAACAAAATTGAATCTACACTACCTGAGGATGCTTCCGTATAAATATGACTCTTCATGGCTTTACTGTTCTTGAAAAGAAGATTTTTAAAGATTTTTCCTATATATTTCTATGTAAAATTTGGATCCTCCATTGTGGCCCCGCCCTACCCCCGGGGGTCATGATTTGAACAAAATTGAATCTACACTTCCTGAGGATGCTTCCATATAAATATGGCTCTTCATGGCTTTACTGCTCTTGAGAAGAAGATTTTTAAAGATTTTTCCTATATATTTCTATGTAAAACTTTAATCCTCCATTGTGGCCCCGCCCAACCCCCGGGGGTCATGATTTGAACAAACTTGAATCTACACTACCTGGGGATGCTTCCATATAAATATGACTCTTCATGGCTTTACTGTTCTTGAGAAGAAGATTTTTCCTATATATTTCTATGTAAAACTTTGATCCTCTATTGTGGCCCCGCCCTACCCCTGGGAGCCATGATTTGAACAAAATTGAATCTACACCTCCTGAGGATACTTCCATATAAATATGACTCTTCATGACTTTACTGTTCTTGAAAAGAAGATTTTTAAAGATTTTTCCTATATATTTCTAAGTAAAATTTGGATCCTCCATTGTGGCCCCGCCCTACCCCCGGGAGCCATGATTTGAACAAAATTGAATCTACACTTCCTGAGGATGCTTCCATATAAATATGACTCTTCATGACTTTACTGTTCTTGAAAAGAAGATTTTTAAAGATTTTTCCTATATATTTCTATGTAAAATTTGGATCCTCCATTGTGGCCCCGCCCTACCCCCGGGGGTCATGATTTGAACAAACTTGAATCTACACTACCTGAGGATGCTTCCGTATAAATATGACTCTTCATGGCTTTACTGTTCTTGAGAAGAAGATTTTTAAAGATTTTTCCTATATATTTCTATGTAAAACTTTGATCCTCCATTGTGGCCCCGCCCTACCCCCGGGGGTCATGATTTGAACAAACTTGAATCTACACTACCTGGGGATGCTTCCATATGAGTTTCATCTTTCCTGGCCCTGTGGTTCTTGAGAAGAAGATTTTTTAAAGATGCTATTCATTTTTCACTAATTCTTAATTATCTCCCCTTGAAAGAGGGTGTGGCCCTTCATTTGAACAAACTTGAATCCCCTTCACCCAAGGATGCTTTGTGGCAAGTTTGGTTGAAATTGGCCCAGTGGTTCTGGAGAAGAAGTCGAAAATGTGAAAAGTTTACAGACAGACGGACAGACGGACTACAGACAAAATGTGATCAGAAAAGCTCACTTGAGCTTTCAGCTCAGGTGAGCTAAAAATTTGAGCATGAGAACCAGCAGGCATGTTTACGAAGCTATCTTAGGACTAAGAAACGTCTTAAGATATACTTAGGACAATTCTTAAGTCTAAGTGGGGTTTTCGAAAGTATCCTAACTTAAGAAAGTTCTTAAGAATTATCTTAAAGTTAGGACAGCTTTTGACATATCTTAAGTCTATCTTAAGCAAAAATGGCCGCGCCCATGTTGTTGCTGGCTCGACGAAATCGTCCTATCAGACGTGACACAGTATTTAGAGATATTGATAACCCTCTTCACTACTTTGATGATGAAGCTATTATAAGAAGGTATAGGCTTTCAAGACCCTTCCCAGATAGCATGACTACGTTGGGCCAACGTTGGTTTTTGGTTGGATGGTTGGTAGAGTGTTGGCATTGGGGAACAAATGTAGGCCCAATGTTGGTCCAACGTTGATCTACGTTGGCATGAAAGCTAAACCAACGGTGTTGGGTATTCAATGTTGGCCCAATGTTGGCCCATTGTAGTAACATGTTGACAAGAAACATGGCGACTATGTGTTGGACATTAAAATGTTGGCCCAAGATAGGTCCAACCGAGTAAATGTTGGCATGGATCAAGACCATTGTGTGTTGGGTATGAAATGTTGGCCCAACTTGGGTCTAACTGAGTACATGTTGACACGAAACGTGGCCACTTAGTGTTGGACATTCAATGTTGGTCCAACATTGGTCCAGCTTAGTAAATGTTGACAATATTATGAGACACCGCTCTGTGTTGGGCTTGTAAGACTGGGCTGGAGTAGGTCCAATAGAGGGAATATTGGGATTACAATTGTACCGGTAGTCTGTAATGCTGGTCCAACGTTGGCCCAATATTGTGAAAAGTGTCATTCATCAATTTAGGTTTATTTATTGTAAATCGATGGTACTGTAATAAGCAACTCATTATAAACATTGATCTATATTATATTAAATGGAAAATTATGAAACAAACTTTATAAGTCTGTGAATTACATAGTATAATGTTGTATCTTGGTAGATTCTATATTTAGCATCATTGAATTAAATTTAAAGTGCTGTGTTTTAGAGCTCCAAATAAATAGGTCAGTGGTTGAAATTCACTGGCTCGGCAGGTGACTCATCAGTCTCCAAGGAAACCGGCATCTTAATCAGTTTTTAATTTCACAAACCGTCACGTACCGCACTTGAACAAAGCATATGTGTCTGTTAGTGAACGCAAGAATTTTTAACCCTTGAAATGTAAGTATAGTTTTTGTATTTGTTATTGATAATTAATAATGTGAAATTCAAACTAAAGAATTGGTTTAAAAATATATGTGTGTTTCAAAATTATAACGGCCTGTAAGCTTTTAAATTATCAGTACCGGGGTGCAGATTAAACATTTGAAAATATTATTTGAATTGATGACATTCTTAACGTTTATAGGAATTGGCGGGCTTGAACAAAGCATATAAGTGAATTTTAACCTTTGAAATGTAAGTATAGTTTTTTGTATTTGTTACTGATAATTAATAATGTGAAATTCAAACTAAAGGATTGCTTTAAAAATATATGTGTGTTTCAAAATTACAATGGCCTGTAAGCTTTTAAATCATCAGTGGTGGGATGCTGATTAAACATTTGGAAATATTATTTAAATTGATGACGTTCTTAACGTTTATAGGAATTGGCGGGCTTGAACAAAGCATATAAGTGAACGCATGAATTTTAACCTTTGAAATGTAAGTATAGTTTTTTGTATTTGTTATTGATAATTAATAATGTGAAATTCAAACTAAAGGATTGCTTTAAAAATATATGTGTGTTTCAGAATTACAATGGCCTGTAAGCTTTTAAATCATCAGTGGCGGGATGCTGATTAAACATTTGGAAATATTATTTAAATTGATGACGTTCTTAACGTTTATAGGAATTGGCGGGATGGAAAAGCCTTCTATATTATGAGACTGTTGATGTGGCATTTTCTTCATATGGAAGGGACTGATTAATATTTGTGGGAAATATGGTTGATGTGGCATTTTCTTCATATGGAAGGGACTGATTAATATTTGTGGGAAATATGGATTCTAGGATTAGATAAACAACAGAAAAAGGAATGAATGATTCAAATGTGACCTTCCTAAAATCTACAAATTAGAACTTGAAGACTCTTACATGTATATCAAAGCGATATTTTGTAGTGGACATCGTGATGTGGAATATACTTGAGAAAGATTGAACTTTCTACCTCTTCCTACTTTTAGTTACATTCCACGGGATAATTTAATGAAAGTGACAAAGAATATACTGTGATACATTTTCAGGAGGAAAAATTTATTTGGCCAAACTTGGTGAAATTAATTTTGTCGTATAATCTGGGAAATAAAAAAGTTACAGAATTTAATTGAGTTTGTAAGACATTTGTAATCAGGAATAATTGTGTCAACATTGACATTTCAACAAACAGCGTTGTACTAACGCTGAACCAACGTAATAATTATATTTTGAACTGAGGTCCAACGTTGGGCCAACGTTACAAAATATTGAGTTGGCGTTGGTATGTAAGAATAACGTTGTACCAACGTTGACATATAAACAAACAGTGTTGTACCAACATAGGCCCAACATGTTGGGCCAACGTCGCGCCAATGAGCAATAGGACATTGGGCCAACGTAAATTGCCAACATTGGCCCAACATAACCAACATTGTTGGCCCAACATTGGGCCATTGTCCTCATGCTATCTGGGTTAATCCATGATTTATGTGAACAATTTCAAAATGAACTACAACGTCCTACTATGAGATCTCATGCATTACCTGTCTCACTGCATTACGAATTTATGCGACTAGCAGTTTCCAAGCAGTTGTTGGTGATGTGCATAACATTTCAAGACCAAGTGTGTGCAAACTAGTGAAAGATATGACCCAGTGTCTTGTTAATGTGGCCAATATACACATAAGAATGCCTATTACATCAAATGAATTGGCCAAAAACATGAATGAATTCAGTTTAATTGCAAATATGCCAAATACCATTGGGTGTATTGATGGAACACACATTAGGATTAAATCTCCAAGCGTTGATGAACATTTATACATAAATCGCAAAAATTACAATTCAATAAATGACCAAGGGGTTTGTGATGCCAACTTAAAATTTATTAACATTGTGGCAAAATGGCCCGGCGGAATACATAATACGTTTATTTGGTCAAATTCTGCTTTGAATCGTTTATTTGAAACAGGAAGGATTGCAGAGGGATGGTTACTGGGGGACAGCGGTTATCCACTGCGTCCTTGGTTACTTACACCTGTAAATAATCCATCAACAAATGCAGAAGAGCCTTACAACACTGCCCATATCCGCACCCGCAATTCTGTTGAAAGATCTTTTGGGGTTTTAAAATCACGTTTCCGCTGTCTAGACGCAAGCGGTGGAAGTCTTCTATATTCCCCTCAGAAAGCATGCGATATCACAGTAGCCTGTGTAGTGTTGCACAACGTGTATTTCTCGCCGTATACCCCTTCCAGACCCAGGTCCACGAGACACAGGAAGAATTTGAGGGACTGATTATGCAGGGACCGTTAATGACGGTGCTCGAATCAGAGGTCGTCTTATCACAGGACGTTTTTCTAGGTGAAGCAGCTGTAAAAATTTCCACTAGAGATTTCTTTTTTGTTGTTGATGCATTTATCAAAGCAAATGAAATACAGTTATGACTAATAAATGATATTTCTTTTTCATTTGAGACTATTTCTCTTCATTTAAAAAAGTTATATATTTCTTTAAACCAACCCCCCCCCCCATCCCCACCCCTGCCCCCTCAATTTCGTATTCAGAGTTGTCATTCGTGGATCTCTCAGACACTTCTTCAATGGACTCGCATCAAGAGGAATAATTTAATTACATGTATTACAATTAAAAGAAAGGCACTAGTATTTCTTGTTGCTTTCAATGTGATATATGAGTATGCGAGTCAAAATCTCTCTCTCTCTCTCTCTCTCTCTCTCTCTCTCTCTCTTTCAGGGTTGAGTCTGTGTGTATTTTCTTTCAAATGATGAACGTATCAGTAAATCAATTACAAAAATAACTTTAAAGAACCATAAGGAATCATTTACTGTCATGTAGGTATCTGTACAAATTATATATTACTTCCTTCAAAAGTAACACCATGCTTGGCTAAGTACACTTGATGACGCTGTGTCTCTATAGTAAGTCTCTGTCTGTCTAACACCAAACGTTCCTTTTCAATCTCCAGCATCTGTCTCATGATTGAAAGCTTTTCCTCCCCAATGCTCAATAACTTGTTTTCATAAAAATCCTCACTGTCTTTTTCCCTTTTCCTCTTCTTTGAGGGTCCGGACTCTACGGACACGTCGCATGAAACTGGTAAATCACGTTGCGACGCAATACTAGCACATGTACTGTCACTTGAACATGCAGGCTCAACGCTCAATATATCTAAAAAACAGAAACAAAAAAAGAAAATCATGGCTTTTTTAAAATTGTATTTATATCATGTGGTTTCTACAGATGTTGAATTATTACACAGTTATACGTGTACTGCATTTGCACATGCTAGGAACGTATCATCGTTTTTGAAAGGGAGGGGGGGGGGGCAAATGAATTCAACTTACCAGAAAAAAACTTGACAAGGAAAAAAAGAAAATTTTCCTCACTCGAAAAATCCTATACTATACTGCACCAAAAAGTGGGGAGGGAGGGGGACCGGTCTTTCAATGAATGTTTTCAATGGTACAATGTAAAAAAAAGTTATGTTTGGACACCCCCCCCCCCAATGTTACGTGCCTGCATGCATCTACTTTCAAAATACCCATGGTTAGAATTCTTCCGATACTTAGTGCTTCACGCGGATGCACAACAAATATAGTAAGATGTAACCTGTTAACAAAATAAAACTATTGAATCTCGCTTAACATGAGAGAGAGAGAGAGAGAGAGAGAGTTTACACATTACTGTACCGTTTTTTTTCGGTGACCTCGCAGGTGTCGATACCGCCCTTTATGCCAGAAATTGGGGTTATTCCCACAATTTTTTCCTGCATAGGATTTAGTCCCTGGGGGGTGGGGGGCCTCCTCCAGTTTTTCCTGCTTCACTGCGATTTTGCGCAGCCTTCTTCTTTGTCTCACTCATATAAGAGGACCATTTCTTCTTCACTTCTTCTACTGTCCTACAGTGGTTGATGTTATTTGCCTTGTTGATTTTCTCACATGTTGCCTCCCATGCTCTTTTCTTTGAAGAATTTGTAGATACGTTGGAAAACTTTGAAAATAAAATGGCTCCGTTTTTCTCCACCTCATCAAGCAGTATTTCGATTTCAATTTGAGAAAAATTAGGACTCCTCTTTCGACTCATCCTACTGGGTGTTTTCTTGTCGAACCAGAAATTGTCAATGAATAAGAGTTCCACAGAGAAAATTGGCGCGCTTTTCATGGTTCAAGAATTCTGAGTGATCAAATGGAACTCTATTTGAATTTAATTACAACCAATATAATATCGTCGAATTAAGATAATTATTTTAAAAAATGTTTTATATATATTTATAGATTTTTTAAAAAATGTTTAAATTCTTATTTTTACTCTTTTAAATATTTTCATTATTATGATTTACATAACGTGTAGCATTACATGGCAAAAATGACCACTCTCTGATTCCTGACAATGGTTTAAATCTTTGCGTATTTCTATGTCATAATGATTTATGACGTCTTAGTTTAGGATACTCTTAAGATAGCTTTGAAAAACACCTTAAGAAAATCTTAGGATGATCTTAAAATTTTCCTAAGATATGTCTTAGGAAATTTCTTAGGAACAATCTTAGGAAATTTTCATAAACATGCCTGCAGGGGTCCATTTAATAAAAGAACTTATGACTAAGGTCAAAAACTTTAGATTGAAAAATCTTGCAAAATAAATGATTTTGCAAAAATTGCTAGAGTAAAAATATCGATCATTCTAAATTCTTTATAAAAAGATTACAATCGTTTTCAAATTAATGTAAAACAGAAAGTTTCATTTTATTTTGGTTTTAGTCATTAGTTCTTTTGTAAAACAGGATACAGACCAATTACATGTACATGTGAGAAATAGTCTTCAAATTTGAAATTTTTCTTGAAAAAATTTTTGAATAATCTGAACCAAATTTTAAACTAACATTAAATCTTTAAATATGAGCAAAGTTCAAACATATCACTTTAGAATACATGGCATGTACAGACCTTTTTCAGTTATAGCACCAAAGGCAATTTTCTTGAATGCTTAACTTTCTGATCATATTATGCTTGTTTATCAGAGCTGTCAATCATAGGTAATCAGAGATTACAGAGCTCATCTCAACGAATGTTGTCTTAAAGTACCGGTAAACAATTTTTTTTGGGGGGGTACATCAATGGATATTTAATGAAACTTAATTAATCCTGCTGTTCTTCACCAGATTTTCACCTTGTAATAGTTATTGTGGCCCAACCCTACCCCTGGGGGTAATGACCTGAAAAATTTAAAATCTACTCTACCCCAGGAAGCTTCCACATAAGTTTCAGCTTTTCTGGCCCAGTGGTTCTTGAGAAAAAGATTTTTCTATTATATTTCAATGTAAAACCTTGATTCCCTATTGTGGCCCCACCTTAACCATGGGGGCCATGATTTTAACAATTTAGAATCTACACTACCCCAGCATGCTTCCATGTAAGTTTCAGCTTTTCTGGCCCAGTGGTTCTTGAGAAGAAGATATTTTAAAGATTTTTCCTATATATTTCAATGTTAAAACTTTGATTCTCCATTGTGGCCCCACCCTTTCCCCAATGGTCATAATTTGAACAATTTACAATTTAAACTATCTCAGGATGCTTCAATGTAAGTTTCAGCTTTTCTAGCCCAGTGGTTCTTGAGAAGAAGATTTTTAAAGATTTTTCCTATATATTTCAATGTAAAACTTTGATTCCCATTTGTGGCCCCACCCTATTCCCAGGGGCCATGATTTGAACAATTTAGAATTTACCTCAGGAAGCTTTAGTTTAAGCCTCTCTGGCCCAGTTCTTGAGAAGAATATCTTTTTATGACCCCACCCTATTTTTGTCTGATTGTAAGGGGGCTTGGCCCTTCACTTTAACAATTCAAACTCCCCTTTACCCAAGGACACTTTGTACCAACTTTGATTAAAATTGACCCAGTTGTTCTTGAGAAGAAGTTGAAAATGTGAAAAGTTAAGAGATGGAAGGAAGGACAGACAGATGACAGACAACAGGTGATCAGAAAAGCTCAGGTGAGCTAATAATGACTGAAATAATTTTTTCAAACTTGTTGGAAGAGGGGGCTAGTAAAAATGACTTGGGCTAGTTAAGTTTTGCTATTGCTGAAAAAAAGCTTTTCGCACACACTGTGCCTTGATATCAACCTGTTGTACAGCCAGTGTGCTATCCATCTCTTCAAATGCTTCATCACTCCAATTACACCAGTCCTAAAAAAAATCAAAGTACTGAAAGTACTGATGGGAGTTGATTTAAATGACAGTTTCAAAAAAATTTAATGTTTGACACCTTGCTCACAACTTTTCAAATTACATTCATAAATGCTTCATATAGAAGTATGCGGGAATCAAATAACAAAGAAAATGTCACAATTCGACAGAGTCAATAAAGTGCCCCGCCACAGCATGATACGCCCGTCAAATATTGTTCAATTATCACAAACAGTTCAGAGTGCAAGAAAATCAAGACAACCTTGATACAAGGATTTCCAAGATTTTTCCATTCCTTATAATATTTGTTTATACTATTCCTATGGTGCAGGCATGAATTATAACAAATATAACATTATCGATCCTCAACTGGTTGTGTTAGAGCTTGACAAATACCCATCTGCAGCCCCCCCCCCCCCCCACACACACACACACACACAGTGACACACACAATCTTTCATATTTGTGAGACATGATGCTCTGAAATTTGTTCGTCAATATTTTCAAAAAATAAAATAAAAATATCAATTAAACGATATCAATTTAGTCTTAACTTAATCTATACCAAATTAATTTTAAAATAAAAGACTGGCCATCAAATGACATATGCTATAAACTGACCAGCAGTTCTTCTGTCTAATTCCCAAAGGATACAGATAAGAGCTTGATCAGAGATCCACTAACAGAAATGATTGAGACAGCTAGCCTTCCTACACTGAACTCATTAATTATTCTTTAACTGGATGCATGTCCACTCATTACTCCCAAGGGATGAATGGATCTGCGCTATCTGCTTTGTAGTGCATTTAAAATGAATATTTATGTCATTCTGAAATTAAATTTGAATACAAAGATTTTTTTTTTCAATTTGTTACAAAGATTTATAAAAAGAAAAAAAAATTGTAATCTTGATGCAACAACATTTTTAATAAGGTTTCTGCTAGACTCTTAGATTTGTAGGGACTATCTACCATAATTAATTTTTTTTTAAATACTTTCTTTTTTTTTTTTTTAGATTCAATGTCAGACTGGTTTTAAGCTGCAATTCATATGGACAACGGGCATGCTAATTCCAATATCACCCCCCCCCCCAAGTATAATTAGTTTTAATTAATTAGTTTATTATACAATATCAAACTAGTTTATTATACAATATCAAATTAGTTCTAATTACTTTTCACCAAATTCATTTTAAAAGTTAAGCTAGCCCACAAAAACTATTTAATCCAACATGGCTGATTCCTCAGCCCAATTCCCAAGAGACATAGATAACACCTGCTTGATCAGAGATGCTCTACCAGTTAGCTCCTCACACTAAACTCATTAATTTCTCTCTAATTTGACATGCAATTTTCTGTTATCAAAATTCTCCTTGACCAGTGCTTGATAATTACACCCATGGGAGAGGTGGAATTTCTCTTGTAACATTATATTTCTTATAGATTGCTGTAAAGTATATAATGAAAAAAATAAGTATTTCCTTGATTTTAACATTTTTTGATAAGGATACTGCAACACTTTACATTTTTTGGGATTGTGTAATTCAATAGTAAAAAGATAGTTTTTTTTTTAAATTTCACTTAAATTAAAGGTCACAGTGACCTTGAAATAGGTCGCGACACACCTTCTACCTAAGATGCATAAATTGGCCAAGTTTGATGATTCTAAGTCTAATAGTTTTCTAGTTATCAGCTGGACAAGATTTTTCCATATTTGGCCATAGCATCTTAATTAAAGGTCAGAATGACCTACTTTTAGTGCGCGACACACCTTCTACCCAAGAAGTATCAGCTGACAAAGATTGATAATCCTAGGCCTAATAGTATTAAAGTTATGAGCCGGACACGAGAAAAGCTAACAGACAGACAGACAGACAGACGGACGGACATGAACGCCATAACATAATACGTCCCGTCTAAAGACGGGCGTATAAAAAGGTAAGGTTTGTTTTGATCTCACCATAACTTTAGAATGATATGCCAACACGTGTAAGACTTTTTCTTTCATGAAATTAAGGTATTTTTTCTGACCAAAAGTTTGTTTAAAAGGGCTACTAATAGCAAATTTGTTTTTTTTTTGACAAAATGTGATAGTTGTAAATATGAAAATTTTACTCCTTTATATGTACAATATTTGAATAAATAATCTGAATTTACATCTAGAGAAATGTTTACGTTTTGCTTATTTGCATAGCGGCCATATTGTTTTCAATATGGAAGATTTTTTACTCAATGCATTATTTAAGGAAAAAAAACCCAGAAATTAAAAAAATATATATCATCAATTCGTAATAATTTCTTCCTCATTTGACTCTATCTTTTATTTTGCCCTGGATCGGAATGCGTTTTTTTTTTACAAAATAAAGAAAAGTTGATAGTTCCATTTGAGTTTGAAAATCTAAAGCGATTTTCATTACAATTATATACATGTGAAAAAATGTGGTTATAGAGCTTGCAAGGTCTTTATCAAGTAAACTTATAAGTAATTGCCATTTTATGATTTCGTCCTCATCTTACATGAAATTCTGGATCTTGCATTTTCAGTTTATAAAATACAGGTAATTAGATTTTTTTTACAGCTGAAATCACATTTAAGACAGAATTTTAAAAAAATCCACTGGGGAAAATGCAGTTATTTCTGGACTGGGGAGTTATTGAACTTCATTGTTGTCATATATATGATGAGGATATGATAAAATTTTTAATTATGTTTCATATATTAAGATTGATCATTTAATTTTTTTTTTGAAAAATATCACAAAAATAATGAATATCCATTAACAACGGTCACGTTGTCATTAATTCATGAATAAAATGTACAGCACTTAACCATAGGATGTATTTTGACTAAAATTAAGTTATTAATAAATCACGACAAATATTGCTTACCAGATTTTCAAGTGTAAAGCAATTATATCTTATCATTGATCTTATAATGTCAAAGTATAGGGGAAATATAGCCAGTTCAGAGACTGTACAGCAGAATTAGTTGCATATTTATGTACATCTGTACATTGATTTGCTAATTTTCAGTTTATCGTGGAATAATTTGTATTACACCTTAGTCATTTTCTAGTGTGCCTGAAATGTACCTACATTGGACTTTGTTATTTTTCAATGTGCCTGATTAGTACCTATAAAAGACATAGTCATTTCACAGTATTTTCGTCTACTTACCCATACCAAAAATATTAACATTTCCATATATCTTTTCTTTAAATTTTGTACCTTGAGGATGAGTAAACTTTTAGAATATACAACTTTTTGTACCTAAAATTGACAGTCATGTTTGAATTTAAGTAAAACTTTATTCAAGACTTTGTTATTTTTCAATGTTACTTCTACACTAAATTGGACTGTCACATTTATTGCATCTTTGTAACTTTAAACTGATTTTTTCAACATGGGCACCTATTTGTGATAATATTTAAATAGAATCATGTTTTTCAATCAGAGAAAAATGAAAACTCAAACAAGTGAATCAATAATTAATAACAATTGAAATTATACTTTTACAGTAATACAATTATATCATGACATTTAGGATGTGTGATTTGTGTGTGTGTGTGTGTGTGGGGGGGGGGGTTAGAATAAAAGCCACTTTTTATCCATTATTTCTTTTCTTTTTTTTTAATTATTATTCAACAATTTTTGTTCATTTGATTATTAATTATATTATACTTAAGATTTTCAGTTCATTAACGTAAGCATAATGTCTACTGTGTTGGGGGAAGAAAAAAGGGGGGTAATTTTGTTAATCAAATGCCAAAAATATATATATAATTATCAATTCAATTCAATTAAATTTTTTATAGCAAATAAAAGATCCATTTTTGTTCTTTAAAAACCCCCTCTACCCTACAGGGTTACTAGTAATTTTGTTTTACATGTTATGAAACAAAGGAGGGGGGTGTCTTATAAACACAGTATAATTATAAATACCAATATTTTGACCATCTGAATTGCCCAGTTTAACAGAAAAAAAGTGTATTAAAATCAATAAATACCTTGTGTTACAGTCTATTAAATGATATCCAAATTAGGACATCTCTCTCTCTCTCTCTCTCTCTCTCTCTCTCTCTCTCTCTCTGGTGAAATACAGAAATGTTAGGGATGTTTAAATTTACTTATATAGAGAGTGGGAATTTATTTATATCCAGCATTCCAGTGATATTTTAAAATAGACTTCATTTTTCTTTGTATGCAAAACGATGTTGATTTCCAGTGTTCTTCAGTGACACAGGTGTTTGTACTAGGTGACCTTTATAGCTTACACTGCAGAAATTTTGGCTCGTGTATCACGTGCAGTTCTTCAATCACAAAGGGCTGATTTGAAGTCTACAGCTCAATCATAATAGGTAAATAAACAAAAGAAAAAATAATAAAAATGAAATAAAAACAAGATATTTATGAAATTTGTTTTAAACTATAACTGATAGTAAAGTAGTAGCAGTAAAGAATAGTGTCACATTTACAAATCAGGCTTGAAATTTAATATAAATAATAGCCTTCAAGGTGTTCAAAAGACCTGTCCTTATTGTTTAATTTACCATACACATAGTATGTAAACATGATGTGTATATTTTACAGGGTTCATGTAGTGACACTTCATTTCGATGTTTGGGAATGTACGTAGAGTGCCAGTTACATTAAGATTTTAGCTGAGGTCTAGTACATAAAGAATTTGTTGTAAATCAATAAATTTAATCAATTTCACATGTAGTTTTTTAAAAAAAGAAGTTATGTGAAATCAGAATGGCGACCCCGATTATAACACAAAATGGCGTCCAAAATGGCGGTCCCGATTATTTACCCAATTAGGGACGCTATATTTCAAGGAATTCATACTAATCGGCTTTTTAATAAAGTTGACGCCATGTAACAGTTGTTAAATATGCATTGTTATAATTTTTTATTGTTTACACGAACTATTTCATGAATAATTTAACAAACGTTTTTAAAATCACGTGACTCCTGCGAAGTCTACGATTGGTCAGCGAC